GGGGTTTCATGAGTCACAAGCTGGCTAAAGCAATCATTTTGATTGTTGTCAAAGTGACACTGGATTCCTGAAGATAAATGAACATGAGTTCATCTGCATCCATCACTGAAATGATAGAATCAGCAACGTCAGGCCTGCTGTGTTTTCATCATGCACTTCAGCCACGCTCTGAGCTATATTTCTGAGAGGCGGTCTGAGCTATTTTTAAAAAGGCTTTAAGGAACTCTCCTCAGAGAAGCAGGCATCTCATCCAAGCTTTATATAGAAACGGTAATGGCTAATGGCAAAGACGTGTGAGAATGCAGGGGAGCGCATATTTAGTCTAGAAAATGGTTCATTAGAAAAAAGTATCTCTGGATTTTTGTCTAAACATTGTGTCAGAATTTCCTTCCGCTCAATGGCATTTGGTGCATTTAAAGGCAAATGTGTCACCTTACACAACCCTGGTAAGGACACCAGAGGTTTTCTTTGCTCAATTCAATCAGTTCAGAGAAAGAAACTTTGAAATGACTCAAAACGATTCTTTTCAGCTTCTTAAAGGATGAGATCCTTAAGAAGTGATAAAGCTCATTCAAGCTAAAAGTGCTAGATTGTATCTAGGTACTTCCAGCTGAAGTTCATAGGTGTGTTGCTATCTTATAGACAGGCACTGCAAACTTGAGTTGATGCTGAAAAATGAGGAGGAAGAAGTTTGATTTATCTAAAAGCTCATGTGTGAGTAACATACCAATTTATATGAATAAAAAGGGAGCGTATACTTTATCTCTTTCATCTGTTACTCTATTGTGTGTGTGTGTATGATTTATAACATACACACACATATGGGATTATATTTTTTAAAAACATCATTGAGATGTCAATTTTTCCCACTTACTTTTAAGTTCTCATTGCTATCACTTCATTCATTCATAGATCAAAATAAAGTGGGCATTTAGAAAATAAGCATAAATACTTCATTATACTTTATCTTCAGGTTACCTTTATATATTTTGCTAGTACTTGAACTGCCTACTTTTGCTATGTCAGTAAGAATTTATTTCATTTGTTGAGGTCACCACATTATCATAAATGAATAGTAACTGATTGTCTGCAAAGTCAATATTACTGGACTAGACAGAACACAGTTAAGTAGGACAAAGCAAATGTATGAAGAGAATTTAAAGGACATCGTCATTTTGGGGGACCAAATTTTGACTTAGGTAAAAAAAATTATTTTCTTCCACACAAGTACTTGAAGTCTGTGTGGTCAAGATATATATGTTTTTTTAATATTAACTATGGTTTTATTTTAAAATGCTACTTTGAAAGTTCTTTAATCTTAGTTACGGTTTCATTTTAAAATGCTACTTTGAAGGTGAAAACATTTATAATATTTTCTTTTAGAAAATTGTATGGTCCTATGCAAAAAGTGGGTACTGAGAGCAGACCCCTCCTCTTCAAGAAATCCAATAAGCTCCTGCACAGGACGTTGGAGCCCACAGAGAAAAAGTCCAGCATTTCCAGTTTGTATGCTAACCATGGCTTCTTCCTTGTGATTCCTCACTTACTCTCTGTGGAGGGTTTAATGGCAGATTGAAAACGAAATCTTAGGAAGAACTAAAATATAAACACAAATATCAAACTCTGTTCCTTGGTATATTGACAATGTCTCTTTAACTCCTAACACTTTACACTCTCTGTTATCCGTGTGTCTAGAAACTAATGAGTTGTCATCACCACACAGTCCAATGGCTGTGCTTTCTAAGTCATGGAAGATTAAATCATGATTTACCTTGGGAGTATATTTTTGTTGTTATAATCTTGAGAAAAATTGTAATTTATTACATGTAGGAGATGTCATTTCCTTAACAAGAATTTTTTTGACTAAAACATCATAATCTTCAAGTATGTTGGATAACAGAGTATTTACAGTATTTGGAAAATTATTGAAAAATTCAAACTTCTTACACCCTCCTGACTACATTCTCACCTCCAAGACAAAGCACAGTACATCATCTTTTTAAAAATTCACATAGCACTCATTTTGACCCTTAACATGTTAAATGGGGGATACAGTTGAGAAATAATGTAAGACTTACATGTTTGAAGAGTGATAGAGCCTGTGGCATTTGTGTTGATTAACACTATTGTACTGTTATCTGTTATTTGCTCATGGAATCAAAGGTATAGTTCAACTGAGCAATCCAGTTTCCAAAGATCATCAATTAAAAGGTGTATTGGAAATAATAAAGCTAATAACTCATGGTTCTGCATAAAAGTGGAGAATTTGTCAATATAATCATTTTTTTTCTTCTACAGTGGGGGTAGAATGTTTTCACCAATTGCTGACAAGAGGGGTATCTTCCTGGGCCTTTACTGGTGACTAGGCAATCTTTTCACCTCCAATCAAAAGATCATTGTTTTTTTTAATGAAAATCTTGCTTGGAGGATCAAATCACAGCAGAATAGGAAAGTATGCCTGCTGATAGAAATCGTCTACTTTTAAACATTGCTTTAGGGCTTTGTACCAAAAGAAGCCCTATGTTGAGTGCTCTATCATTTCCTGTGGATGTCATCATGGGGTCAGCAGTCTCTGTATGGCACACCCATTACAGGGGGTGGCTTTAGACCTTGACTATTTTAAATTAATTGGACAGTCCCAATAACTGGGTAATGAAGTTAAACTGTTTTTGTTTTTTTTTAATTTAGAGACTTGACTAATATGTCAGTTGGGTTGATATAAACTAGGGAAGGAAATTTAAGACATCTTCCACTGTGGTCAGGTTTGTCATAATGGATGGATGAAAGTAACCATTTACATCTTTGATTTTCTGGGAAACAATGGCCAGTCTTGACAAGCACTCTCTAGTTAAGCTGATTCTCTCATCACCTGATATCCTGACAGCACCCCTGGCCAAGTTTCTGGGGACACAGACATGGCACAGTTGGGTGATTATACAAAAGACAAGTGTTCTCAATCTGCCAAGGCAGACTGATGGAATTTGTGGACCAGTTTCTGACATCCCAAATAATTGTGATGCTTCGAGTATTTTAAATAGTTCCAGGTCTATAAAAAAGTGATGATGCCTATATGTATACCCTATATTTCTTTATTACAAAAATATTGAAATAATCCATGAGTTATTCCACTCTGCACCAATTATAAAAAAATACTATCAAAGTTTGACTGGCACTTTTAATGCAACAAAAAGCACCATGACTGAGGACACTGGGAACAGAAAATGGGGAACGCTTACTTGCTGTACGGAGGTATTTAAAACCAGAAGCTTGTTGTAAGAGTACAACTTTACAAATGATTCAAATGCAAATCTTAGCTGGATCTAGTGATAAGCCCTCAATCAGTTCAGAAGGGTTTTCCCCTAGCATATTCACTGCATTTGTCTGCTCATACTTACTAAAAAGTGTCCCAAAGCCTCTAAAAGACACATCACTTTGACCTTGAATTGGTGGTGGTGGTGGGGGAGTCTGTACACAGTGGAGAACTTGAATGTTCATTCTAGTTTCCGCTTCTGTGGGGCTCATGCCGCTCCATCTCAGTTATCCAGGGCTTCCAGGTGAATCCTGGGATTGGACGGTGTTTGGCACTAGAAAGATGGGGCATGGCGTGTTCTGGAATCATGCCTACCTGAGCTCAGGCAGAGCCACGCCTTCTGAGATCTGACACATCCAGTTCCAACCCGGTCCTCTCTCGCCAATCTGCTCTTACGTTCCAATGTGCGCTGCACAGGCCGAGAAATCAGACGCTCATTTTGCCTTTTTTTCCCACTTTCTCTTCCGGTATTTATGAAATTTTTGCAATTGAATACTGAATCACGATTACCATTTACTTTATGTCACTAAGTTAGCGAGCTCCTTGGTCTTACCAAACGCCATACATGTGCTGCATAGGATTTCTGTCATTAAAGATGTTCTCAACTGGAAACTTAAGATTAAAAAACCAATCCTGAAATGTGTTGAAAACGAACCATTCCTTCACTTCTAATACACGTGTAAACACACTTGAGTTTGCTGTCCACTGGACAGGCTTTTCACACATGGTATGTATTGGTTTCCAAATGAGCATGGTTTATGAATTCTTTTCTAAGCAGTACTACTTTTTTTTTTCTGGAGTCTTGAGGGATATATTCTCTCCCGGTTTTAATATTCCTGTGAGAATCAGAGCTTTTCATCAAGAAAAATCACCTAAGCTATTTGACAGAGGACTGGTGTTGTGTGTGTGTTAGTGTATGTGTGTGCATGTATGTGTGTTATGACAATATATTTTTATGCAGAGATCAGTTAATTTCATCAAAACACCCTATGGATCAGAGGCAACATTTTCCATATTCATAGGACCCTCCGGTGGATGCGCTGAAAGACAGTGAGTGTAGGAGAAGTTGGTAGCAACCAGGAGTCCTCCCAGTGGCAGGAGACTGTCGGGGCTGCTGTTTGAAAGAAGACCAGCAGCAGGCAGTCAGCTGATGGAGGGTCAGACAGTAACCATGACGACGGTCAGACTACAAGCATGACAGCTCATTTCCCTACTCTAGGATGGAGTTTCATTATTGCCACAGGCCTGCCACCACCCTTTATCTGGCAGTTGTGGCTCCTCCCAGTCTTTTTGTTTTTATAAAGTGGTTTCATACTCCAACCGCTCCTGAATAAGGGCATCATCTTTGTACTGCAGCCTTGGAGGAGACGGGGAACATTCAAAGGCTAAAATGGCCTTCCGGAGGCTTCGGTCCAAAACATGTCTCTCCCACGCTGGGTACCTATTCCTGAACAGGTCAATTTTAATGACAGATTCTTCAATCCGTGGTGGGCGCGATGATGGGGTGGATGGGGCTGTGGGTCTCACCTGAAAGACAGGTACACACCCATCCCGCTCTGCAAATTTCTGGTCGCGGTCACTGACAACACTGCGGTTGTTGGAGATGGACCGCAGCGTGCTCGTGGCCACTTCTGGAGGCAGGGTGAAGGCAGCGACGGGGTCCTCACAAGCACAACTTGGTGACTGCCCGAATCTGGGTCCATTGGGGTGAAAGAAGGCATAATACATCAGCATAAAAACCACGCCCGTTAAAAAGCTGCTGAACACCACACACAGCGCCGGGATGGCAAATGCATCTGCAATCTGGGGAGCCTTGTAGAGGTACCAGAGGGCACTCAAGGCTGTATTTTCCAAAAGGATCACAAAATAGTAAATGAAGAGCCTGCAGCGTGTCCTGCCTTCCTTGACGTTGAACCAGCTGAAGATGTAGATGATCCCCACCACCATGTCGAACACGATCTCTTCCCATTTGGTGATACAGAATTCTGTCTCACAGTGGACGATCCAGAAGGTCATGATGCACCAGTGAAGGACGATGAAGATCCCAAAGTACAGCTGGAAAACCGAGGCAAAGAGGGCAAAGGTGATGACCCTGGCAGCGATGGTGAAGAAGTGCCAGCAGAACTGGATGACAACAGCCATGTAGCTGATGGGCTTCTTGTCATCTCGGGAGTCCCGGAGGGCCTTCTGGTATGAGGCCAAGGCCCAAGCCAAAGACACCAGGGAGGCTGCTGCTGTGAAACCTACAAAGCAAACAGGAAGACATTCTGTCAAGAGTGAGATGCAGTGTTGTCTCCTGGAAATAGTCATGCGGGCTGGGGGCTTGAGACAGGCTAGCTTTGACCTCAGCAAAGATTGTAATTTCTCTGAGTTTTAGCTGGGCCAAACACTCAGAGGGGGCTCCTAGTGTCTGTCCTCGAGGGGACCCAACCACATGGAGAAGTCATGAACTAATCATGGAATGTAGGATCTGGAAATGGGGTGGGGTTTAACTTCCATGTGTTTGGTGTACATAGACTCAGGAGGTAGTTTTGTGTAGTGGGAACAGAGCCGTGGGTTGGAGGTTAACAACATTGGGTTGCTGTTTCAACTTTGCCACTTATTACCTGGCATGACTTTGGACAATTGTTTAAAGTGGTGTCCTCATTTATAAAGGAGATGATCTCCAAGGCTCCCTGGCAGCTTTGACACTCTGTGATCTAAAAGCATGAACAGTCCCAGGAAACTCGAGGGGCTAGCTGGTTTTCCATTCTGCTTCTCAACAAGAAAGTTGATTTAAGAATAAGAAAAGGAGCCCTAGCCAGTTTCGCTCGGTGGATAGAGCCTGCAGACTGAAGGGTCCCAGGTTCGATTCCGGTCAAGGGCATATGCCTAGGTTGCGGGCTCCATCCCCAGTGGGGGGCATGCAGGAGGCAGCCATTCTATGGTTCTCATCATTGATGTTTCTATCTCTCTCTCCCTCTTCCTCTCTGAAATCAATAAAAATATGTTTTTAAAAAATAAGAAAAAGGAGTCCATAGAACCTTTTTGGCAGTGTTTCGTGTGATACCTGCTGTGTAGTTTGTCCCTCGTATAATCTGACACTTGCTACTACAGCTTTTGTATATTCCTTACTGTCTTTCCCTTAGAAGAAGAAATGTCTGCTCACTCTCATCTCTGAATCTTTCATAAATTAAAGATTATACAGAAATCACTCCTCAACCACTTCTCTTATTGTTTGACGAGCCCCATTTGGTTAGTATTCCTTCTCAAAGTATGTTTCCAAAACTTAATCATTTGTGTTGCTTCCTTTCACTGTTGCTCCATTTACCTTGTCTGAAACATCACCTTGATGGTCCAGATGTCCACAGGGCTCACTAAAAACACACATTGGCCTCTTCTAGGAGCGAGATGGTTTGGGAATTCCACTTTGTCACTGAAATGTTATATCAATTTGCATTGCAGCTGGTGTACTTATTGAGTTGTACCAAGACTTACCAAGACTACAAATGGTTTTGTGTTTTAAAGTCCTGCTGGCTTTGCTTCACTAGACTCTTACTCATTATAACCAGGCCACCTTATAGTCTTCTCCTGCTATGGAAGTAATAGGAGGGGATTGCCAAGAACTTGTAATGGGACATGTACTTTCCTTTTTTATATTTCAATAGAGAAGAGCTGTTGTCTCTGGTTCTTGAAAATGAATTTAAAAAATGACTCTTCTGAAAAAGAGCCACACTAATTGATAGAAAAAACATTCAACCTCAATAGTTAGTTCTTTCTTATTCTCCTTGAGTAAGATGAACTCCAAAGAATAATTATCAATAAAGAAAGTGTTTTCCAACATCCACGTCTCATATCTATTCCCAATAAAGTCTGTATAATGCCTCATCCTACACTGGACCTTCAATTGTTCTCTGGCCAGCACAAAAATCTTTTATTACTGTAACTCTCAGGCAGTTATGGCAATATTTTTAGGTCAGTTGGAGACCAGTACACAAAGGAGTTTATGTTAATGTAATTTCTACACGGTGGAAACATATTCACCAATGATACTTCAATTACAAAGCAAATTCATAAGTGAAAAGAGAGGAAAGGAGAAAATGGTTACAAAAGAAGAAAGAAGGTTAGGGGATGGGAAATAAAAGGTGATGGAATAATGACTGTGAATTATATACTTATTATAGTTTAGGATATAAGAACAGAAGTTGTGCAATTTTAATTTCAACACTGTGTGTTGCATAGAAGCCACTCATGACCTCGCTCTTTGCCAGCACCATTAGCAACGGTACTAACTGCTTCTTGAATAGGCTGTTCTCTTTATGCTTTTAAGCTGTGAATGGATTGCAGCTTCTCCACAGGCACAGCTTCCTTTTGTTACCAGCCCACATCCCATAGGACAGTGTTTAAACACAGCGCCACCTTCAGGAAGATCCAGCATGGTCCGCCAGGCTTGAGCAAAACAGTGGAATGGACTAGATCAGGATTGTCAGATCAGGGTACCAGTTTGTACAAGAAAATGTTATTAAAGGCTGCTTGTCAAAGCAGTGAAAAAGAGTAAAACAGCATCATAAAATGATTTGTTGTCAGATTTAAAAGAATTAGAAAATTAGCTTAGTTCAAATTCTTTTGTAATTTCTGTACCTTTTATTAATTCCACCTGCTTTGACACTCAAGGAACTTGTTAAGACACTATTCTGGCAGTAGAAAATGAAGATTTTCTTATCAGTCTTTCTTTCTGTGTATCTTACAATTTAAGACATACTCACCAATGATACATGTGATAAGGGGTTAATTTCCAAAATATATAAAGAACTCATACAACTCAACAGGAGGAAGACAAACAATCCAATTAAAAAATGGGCAAAGGACCTGAATAGACACTTCTCCAATGAGGACATACAATGCCAAGAGACATATGAAAAAATGCTCAATGTCACTAATGATCAGAGAGATGCAAATTAAGACCACGAGGAGGTATCACATCACACCTGCTAGAATGGCTACTATCAATAAATCAACAAATAACAAGTGCTGGTGAGGATGTGGAAAAAAGGGAACCCTAGTACACTGCTGATGGGAATGCAGACTGGTGTAGCCACTGTGAAAAACAGTATGGAGTTTCCTCAAAAAATTAAAAATGGAACTGCCGTTTGACCTAGTGATCCCACTTGGGACTATATCCTAAGAATCCCAAAACACCAATCAGAAAAAAATATATGCACTTCTATGTTCATAGCAGCACAATGTACAATAGCTAAGATCTGGAAACAGCCAAGTGCCCTCAGAAGATGAGTGGATAAAAAAGCTGTGGTACATTTATATAATGGAATACTATGCAGCAGTAAAAAAGAAAGGATCTCTTACCCTTTGAGACAGCATGGATGGGCCTGGAGATTATTATGCTAAGTGAAATAAGCTAGTCAGAGAAAGACAATTATCACATGATCTCAGTTATATGTGGAATCTAATGAACAAAATAAACTGATGAACAAAATAGGACCATAGACATGGAAGAATGGAACAGACTGATAGATCTCAGAGGGAAGGGGGATGGGAAGAGATTAACCAAAGAATTTATATGCATATATGCATAGCCCATGGACACAGACAAGAGAGAGGTGAAGGTCTAAAGTGGGGCCAGAGCCGGGTGGAGGGGGACCCAAGGGGGGAAAGTGGGGGACATCTGTAATACCCTCAATAATAAAAATAATTTTTAAAGAAGTGTGAATCATGACCAATTACTTTATAAATTCTCTGACTTAGCAACAATTAGGATTTCCCTTGTTCATTTGATTATGATTTTCTTTTTCATCTGTTTAGCAATTAGTTTTTAGAAGGTAAATATATTCCTGAACAGAAAATATAGGGCCATTTTAGAGTTACTCCTCATTACAAATTTATACCTGTCATGAAATGCTTAGTTCTCAGTTTTTACAAAACACTGTGAAATAAAATCTGTACACCTGTCATGTGGTTTGTTGTCTGGGTGTAAAGAAGAATTCCTGGAAATCCCCAGAGAACACTGTAGAGCAGCGGTTCTCAACCTGTGGGTCGCGACCCCTTTGGGGGGTCGAACGACCCTTTCACCGGGGTCGCCTAAGATCATCAGAAAACACATATATAATTACATATTGTTTTTGTGATTAATCACTATGCTTTAATTATGTTCAATTTGTAACAATGAAATTGGGGGTCACCACAACATGAGGAACTGTATTAAAGGGTCGCGGCATTAGGAAGGTTGAGAACCACTGCATTAGAGGATTTAGGATTTACAGCCTACTTTTCTAAATGTATGGAGTTCGGGGAATTGAATCAAGTATGCTAATTCTATGATTTTTCAACAGACAGAATGAGTCCGTCTCTTTCCTTCTCCTGTTGAAGGGAATAACCACAGCCCTTGCCCCACAACAGGCCAGCCAACGGTTACAGTCTCAGGGAACCACCTGGCCACTGACCCATCTTTACAACCAAACTGCAGCTGGCGAGAAGGAGTCCTTCCTTTTAGCTTAAAAAGTTAATACTATATAAAACTTCTGACATATACAAAAGCAGAGAGAATAATACAATAGCTATACCCTTCTTGCCAATCAACTAAAGTCTTTTACCGAGTTCTAAACTCCATCTTAAGGGAAGCATAACTTTTGGCCAGCAGGGGGACCCCTTTCGATGGAGCCCTGGATCCACTGCTTCCTGAATCTTCCCGCATATACTCTTCCCTGAATGCTCTTTTCTCCGAAATGACAGACAGAACTGTGTTGAAAGCTGACTGGCTAAAAGCTGGTGTCTTATCGCACATCTTCGGCAGCCTGACCTGGTAACTCTCTGGGCCACCTGAACACCCCGGCTCATCTTGTGCCTCTCTGTGCTCCAGCCACATTGCCGTCTCTCCATTCCTCCCGTGTTGAATAAGACCACATTTTCTTCCCAGAGCCAGGAAATGCTGTGCTCTCTCTTGAAAAGTCACCTTTCAGTTTTTGGTTTAAGCATCATTCCTTTCCTTAGGGGAGCCTGTCCCAGCCCGTAATCTAAATCCAATCACCTCGTTGTAAGTGCCACAACACTGTGCTTGCTTGTTCCTGATGGCATACCTCAGCACAACCACTGTGGTCATCTACCTGTGCGGGTGCTGATGGGCATGTCTCCCCATTTTTGGCTGACCACTGTGTCCCCAGCATCTGTCACTCTGCTGTGCATCAACTTCTGAAATGAGTACATTTGTCATCCAGTTGCTGGATGTCATATTGTTTCCCTATCTGATCACCATTTTGATTGCAAACATGTTGACGTCCCTTCCTTTCTCCCCATTTCTCTATCCTGTCTGTCAATTT